TTTCGAACTCAGGAATAGAATCCAACAGACAAATGTTAATGTGGCCCTATCAAATGATCCTGTGGCTTTCATATGTAACTCCTATAAATAATCATTTCTATGGTAGAGTATCAGTCAGCAAAATTTCCTCTATTTAATCAAATCTTTCATGCTAAAAAAAGTTTTAAAAAGTTCTCCATACAGTGGAATTTTGGAATCTATCCAATTTTCCCCAAAATTCCATTGTATGAGGAACTTCATTGTATGAAGAACCTTAGTCCACCTTTTAGGAGCCTGGTGGCCGAAAGGTCCGTGGTTCTAACTACTGGCCGCTCTGTGGGATAAAGACGTTGCAGTCTGCTTCCCTAAAGATTACAGCCTTGGAAACCCTATGCGGGCAGTTGTACTCTGTTCTATAGGGTTGCTGTGAGCTGTAATCGACTCGACAGTTGGTTTGTGTGTTTTTTTTAGCCCACCTTTGTACCCCATACTGTATATTGTCATCCGTCTGTCGGTTTGTGGTGGCTTGCGTGTTGTTGTGATGTTGGAAGCTATGCCACTGGAATACCACCCGATTCTGCACCCTGCAAGGGGATCTCAGTCCACTGATGGTGATCCCATCATCCAAGAGGTCCTTCTCCTTTATCTTTCTTGACCACATCTGAGGTGGACATTGGGAATATGCTCTATTTGGGGGCCAAGCAGCTTTCTCAGAAAAGTAGGTAGCCCGAGTATCATTTTAAATCTTGAACAGTCATTAACTTTTAGTCTAAATTCATGGTTCCTTTCAGAGTACAACCATCTCAAAAACTTTGCTTATTTGTATGTCTCCAGCCAGCAATATGAGCCAATGGTCACATCTACAATTTTTAAGAACATACCGCCCTGGCTCCTTCCCACACTTACCTGGAGCACCCTGAGCCCATCAGTCATTGGTAGAAGACTGACACTTCAGCGCCATTTCCTTAACCATTTTGTCTAAATGAAAAGATTTACTGGACATTGGCTCTCCGAATTCCCAACAGATATTGATCTTTGGGATGTGGAAATGAGAAATCAAAATTCCTGGAATTTTCAGGAATTATCATATACAGAATGACTATTTTGTATTTCTCATAACACTATATTTAATATATTTTTTTGAATGTAGTGACTAACATAAACAGTGAATGACTTCTGTGATAGGGTTATATTAAATGTTTCAGAATTTTTCTGTTCAAAAAAAAGCATAACAAATGTATGGTTCATTACTCCTAAGAACTAATATATTGTGACAAGATTATATATTTCAATACCAATTATCTTTACCTGATAAATATATCTGATAATACGAAACATTAAATGAAGGAAACATTAATGTAACATTATGCCAAATAAAAATCATTTTTAAAAATTGGAAGAAAGTATCATAAATATTTAATGTTTAAGAGATATAATTCTTAAAATGGAGTTTAAAAACACACAAAGCATTAATGGTCTTATCCAATAGTGTTGGTCTTTATTTTGTAACAAATATTCCAGACATTGAAAGTTTTCTTTCACTTTGCACTGATATTACTCAAGTTGTTAAGAGTGTGTCCAAAAGCACCTTCAAGTTGGGGTTAGGTTACATGTTGCTTCATAGCTCTTTCCTTTAATGATGAAAATATTTTGTCTGCTTGCCCTGATTTTGGTCTTGCTGTTGAAATCAATATTGCTTTTGCTAATTTAGACTTTAGGTCTGTTTCTGATTTCATTTCAAAATGTTCCACAACATTCACATCTTCTTTTTGCATTTCTTGTTAAACTACTTACAAAAAAACGGTAACTTTTGGGAAGTTATCAAATACTGGAAAATGTCAACAAATTTATTTGGTAGTATTTGAGTATCATAACATTTGGATCTCTTATCAAGGTTAACAGAGCCCTCGTGGCGCAGCGGTTAAGCATACCGCTGCTAACCAAATGGTCAGCAGTTTGAATCCACCAGGTGCTCCTTGGAAACCCTATGAGGCAGTTCTACTCTGTCCTATAGGGTCACTATGAGTTGGACTCGACTCGATGGCAATGGGTTTGGTTTTTCTGGTATCATGGTTAACAACACCACACAGAATCACAACTTGAAATTGCCGATTTTGCTTTCAAAACTTATTTCTTGAAACACATTGATAGAATTTGTGTAAAGTATACTACGCGTATGTTGTTGTTATTAGGTGCTGATGAGTCGATTTCAACTCATAGGGACCCCATGTGACAGATGGAACTACACCATAGGGTTTTCTTGGCTCTAATCTTTATGGGAGCAGATTGCCAGGTCTTTCTCCCAGAGCTGATGGGTGGGTTCCAACTGCCAGCCTTTCGGTTAGCAGCCAAGTGCTTTTAACTGTTGCACCACCAGGGCTCCTTACATTATGCATATAAATCGATTAATCATTATTTTACTTCTAAGAATGACTTGCTGTTCACAGCAAACCAGGCCATGAACACATATTTACTACAAGGGCTACAAGTAAGACGGGTAATTAGGTCATGATCACTTCTCCTCTACACGCTTCTTTTCTGGTTCTGGTAATGTTGGCCTTGCCGTTGCCCTCCACGTGCAGTATTCACTACCCTACACGCTTCTGTTGTGGAAATGTTGGCCTGGCCCTTGCCCTCCACGTGCAGTATTCACTACCCTACACCCTTCTGTTGTGGAAATGTTGGCCTGGCCCTT